AAGGCTTTGCGTCTGCCCTCAGCAGAGTTCATCCTGAGGATGGCCACAAGAATGAGTCCATATGAAACAAGAACAATCAGCAGGGAGAAAACTAAATTAAAAGCAGAAAGGCTCAGAAGAATTAATTCTACATCCTTTGCATCACTAGATAAAATACTTAAGAGGGGAAGACTATCACAGTAAAAATGACTAATTACATTAGATTTCCAAAAAGATGAATTAAAAATCTTAATTGTAATCAGCAGTGCTTCAAACAAGCTGTAAAGATATGGGATGGAAACCAAAAGGCAGCACACTCTGTCTGACATGATGACCATGTACTGCAGAGGATTACAGATGGCTACATAGCGGTCGTAGGCCATCACTGTTAGCATCAAAAGTTCTTTTACCATTAATGTTATAAAGACAACTAGCTGGGTTGCACATGCACTGTAAGAAATGGTATTTTTCTCCACTACAAAATTAACTAACATTTTGGGGCCAATTGATGTGGAGTATCCAAGATCAATAAATGCCAGATTTCTGAGGAAAAAGTACATGGGAGTTTTCAGGTGAGAATCAACCTTGGTCAAGATAATCAGACCCAGGTTCCCCATAATTATGGCCAGGTAGAGGATGAGGAATAAAAAGAAAAGGGGGATCTGCAGGTCAGGATGATCTGTGATACCCAGGAGAACGAATTCAGTTACTTGAATTGACGTTGTTTCATTCCACTTTTTCATTTCTTCCATTCAAGGAAAGCAGTCTAAGAAGAAAAGGACTTGTGCTCTTTGAATCTAAGATGTATCAATCACAAGAGATTCTGTCATGTAGGATATTTGAGAATACCTCTTGCTGTTCAGCATGACATCAAGGAGTTATGCAAAAATCTTCTTACTTTCCATAATAACTCCTTAATGTTAGTCTGCACCACAGACAGATTTCTTTGCTATCTACACAATAAATTTGAGCCTGCACAAAAATTTGGTATACTTAATACCTATCACTTTCAGTGATATGATAGGACTTTGTTTATGATTTTTTTTCTCTTAATAGTACCCTGAAAAACACCATATATCACATAGGTGATTGAGCTACCAACCATGAGTAGTAGTCAATCTTATATATATATATATATGTGTGTGTGTGTGTGTGTATGTGTGTGTGTATACATACATATACATATACATATATGTATATATTCTATATATTCCAATATTCCATATATACATATTATATATATATATAATTTACATGAAATTATCTGTGACATTTGTCACCTAAGATTTATAATTAGATAGTTTATATAAAACACAAAACAAAACAAAATAAAACCAAAAAAATTCCAATGAAGGTACAAAAAAAGAAGTGTTTGTAGATCTTTTTTTATTGTTGATATCTACATAGCTGCATTAAAATCAAAGTTGGCTTTAAGGAAACTTGTTAGTTTGAATATATTGCATAGGGAAGAGAGACATGTCACTCTCAGGTAATTCACTTGACAATATTCAAGGAAACCAGGAGACTCTATACATATCAAGGTGGGAAGAGAAGAACTCTAGGTTCTTGGAACATAGTATGAATTCTTTGAGAAGACATTAGAGCAAAGACAATTCAAAAGATTGTTTATGGATTTTCATGAAATAAGACATTAAAAAATCAGTCTTAGAATGAAAAGAGAATAAAAACAGCTGGATTTGAGAAGAAGGGAGCCCTTTATCCTTCCTTTCCCTTTTACCTACCTCAGCAAGCCAGGCTGTGATCTTTCCATTTCTTCCTCTCATCAATAGAAGACAACTATTTGTAGATAATTTGTTCTGCCAGTATTCTTCACATTTCACGGAAACAACTCTACCTTGTAATTATTTCAGGAAATTGACAAAATTCGATCATTTTCAGAAAAAAATTGATGTGAATTGGTGTAATTTAAGAGAGGGGAGTGACAGGCAGAATGCCTAACACCCCTTCTGTGATAAGTGGAAAGCTTCAGAAATGTCCTTAAGTTGTTCATCTGTGACTTTCAAGTAAGAAATGGACTTCATTGTCACATTTGTACCTCTTCAATAAGATCTCATATTAGCTCAGTCCTATTTTACAATCCAAGGTATGTCCAAAGATTCCCAGTTTCAATATTTCCAGTAGATCCCAGGGTCACCAGTTTAAAGTGCTCTAACCAAGTGCTAGAGTGTTAGCAGTGGGACAGAACTGGAATTTTAGGTATCAAAAGCCTAGAATAGCAACCCTCAAACTCAAAGTTAAAACCTGACATCTTCAGGATTCCCACTTTGATATGCATGTTTTAGAAAGACTCTTCCCTTTTGTCTAAGACTTCTAAATATTCTCTCAACCCTCTATCCCTGTATTTAAATTGGATGTATTTAATTTCAATGTTAACTCTAAAAATTTGCAATTATAAAGTACTTTGAAATGTGACAAATACTTTAATATGTTATGTCATCTGATTCTCAGAACAACTCTGTGTGTATGGTACTATTATCATCAGCATTGTATAAACCAGGAATCAAGAAACTGATGATTAGAAAGGTGAAGTGATCTGACCAGCATTACACCTCTGGCAAGTGCCTAGAGATGGAAAATGGGGAGAGAAGGGCCTTCCTATCTTAAGAGCCAGTACTCTGGCAACCTCACTATTGTGAGGCAATGTGTTGTAGTAAATAGATTCTTTTTTCCTGTGTTCTAATTCTACCTCTGATTCTTGCCAAATGTCTGACTATAAATGAGTCACTTAACTTCTCATCAGCCTCATGGTATAGCTGTGAGGATCCAATAAGATGATGTAGGGACAGATATTAAAGCATCATGTATACACATGAGAGTTATCATCTGCATCATTTTTGTTAGCACAAATTTCCACGTAAAGTCTAGTGCCACCAGAATATCATAGATGTTCAGACATCAAAATAAAACTCAACTCTGAAAAGCTGATTTTATCACCCATTCTATTAAGTGGGATCTTAGTCACTAAGTCATGGCTACTATACTTTTCAATGACAACCTTGTGAAACCAGTTAGTTCAGCTTCTTTCTTCATTAGATTACTTAGAAGACTTAGGTAAGTAAAGGTTGAAG